GGTAACTTAATAATGATATGAGTTTTAATCAATTTCAGCTTTCCTTATGGTCAGTCCGGCTATACTTATCTGTTTGGTATTGAGGATAACAATGTTGCGTTTAAAGACTTTGAACAACGGGTTTCGGTATTATTTTGCTATTGATATTTGCCAGTAAATTACAGTAATAGTAGTGATAACAGTAATAGCGATGGTAACGGTACTAGTAATAATAGTATTGGTATTAATGTTGATAGTAGTAGCAGCGATAATAATAGTAACAGTAATAATAACAAAAACAACAGTGACAATAATAATGGTAATAGTAATAATAATAGTTATTATTATTATCATTATTATTATTTTTTATTTCTATTTTTATTTTATTATTATTTTTTTTTATTTTTATTCCTTTTATTATTTTTCTAGTGATACGAATGGAAAAAATAATAAACCGAAAATAATGGCGGCAACACCAAAACAATAATATTTGTATTAATGCTACTATTACTCTTAATATCAGTATTAATATTTATATGATATATATGGGCCCATTCCACGTCAAATCGCACGAGTTTGCACCTCGACCTCCCAGATTTTTTTTCGTTTTCGCCAACTTATAGCACTTGATACCGGATTTTGAAACCGAAAGAGTTTACCTCAAAAAGTGCGTTGGCGGCAAAGTTAGACCGCTTTAAAGTGCGGAAAAAAATCCGTTTTACTCTCGAAAAGGTCCTTTTGGGGACTTGTATTTTTCTTCATTAGCAATAGAAGTTGCTGATTTTCACTTTTTTGAAAGCTTGTCTCCTGCAAATTTAGAAAAATGGTAAAATGAGCATATCAGCAAATTTTATTTCAAAGTAAAATAAGAACGAAAATACAAAACGGTTTTTCTTAAAAAAGGACATTTTAAATTTTTTAAAAAAGACACATTCTTTGAAAAAATGTTTTCTACACAACATACGAAAATTGTGAGATGGTATTTTTTCGACATTAAGAGTTATGGTAGTTGGCAAAGACGAAGAAAATCTGGGAGGTCGAGGTGTAAATTTGTGCGATTTGGCGTGGAATGGCCCATATATATACTATATTAATACTGATATATATATATATATATATATATATATATATAT